CACGTCTTGAGGCAGTATTAACCGAATCCGAAAGGGTAAAATGAAATTTCTCTAATAATTTAAGTATTGGTAAATAATAAGAGCCGGTCATTTTCCCAAAAGACACTTGCACAAAAGGCCGTTTGCCCAAATGGACACTTGTCCGAAGCACTATACATCTCAGTATTAGGCATTTGACATAAAAACACAAGGACATTCAAAATTAGCGATATATTTTCTAACACCTTCCAGCCAACACTAGAAGAGAAGTAGAGGCAGTTTTATTGATCACGATTGTGCATCAGAAAACCGGGTCCAAACTCAAGGTGACGTATGTTTAAGTTAGTTTCTGTGAGTGCCCTCTATGAGGATCATATCTGAACGAGGTATCTTTGTGAGTCCTTTGATGTAGATTCTGATGAGCATCAACTCATCACTGCTGTACATCTCTGTTAAGTATCCACCATACATCTGACACGTCGATCAAGATTGATAAGAATCTACTTACTCATCAATGTAGCACACTTAAATGAATGCCTAAATTATGTTTAATTACTGAAAATACTAAAATGTCAAATACATAAAAAAAACAGTCAGGGTTTTATAACCATATTAATTTGTGTTACACCCTGGATAAATTTTTAATGTTTATCGGGCCTCTCGAAAACCTTTGAGATTATTCTCGCTTGGGTCCATTTAGAAGATGGTTCACTTTGTTCAATAGTTAACCCATTCACACATCAGCTTGTAACAAAATTATTTTTTAAATGGGTCTTCCATTCATGACGTCCACGCATGGGGGGATGGGGGGGGGGTCAGAAAACAGTTGACTATTGTGGACGTGTGTGGTCTGTGGGGAGGGGGGGGGTCGGGTCAATGTGGACGTCCACATGTTGAATTAAACAACAAAATACTTACATTTGAAAATATTTTTTAAAAATATAAAAAAAACTGCACATAAAATGTAGGTTATACATTAAGTCGTCAGTCCTTGTGTTAATGTATCAGAAACGTAGCTGCATACTACAGTATACAGCCCGCCTAAACAGCTATTGTTTTTACCAGCGGGAAGGGGAGGGGGTTTATTGACCGCGGAAATTATCTAAAACAATTATTGGTATTTCAAGTTCATTTTAAACATTTCAAACAATTGTAACTAAGTCATAGTAGGCCTACAAAATTACTTCGTATTTTATTAGCATTAAAAAATATTTATTTTCAGGTAACATAGTAAATAATTACAAAGAGTCTAAATAGACATTGCTTGAGACTCCCTCGACACTCTACAAAAGATCCAGCTTATGTATTTGTAAACTTGACTACTATATTTTGATGTACCACACTAAATCTCAGATTATGGAGTTTACTTGGCTGAAATAGACGATAGATACAAATGAAAAGTTGATTACAGTTATTTAAAGACTTTAAATGCTGTGGATTTTGTAATGATTGACAGGACTAATGAGGTCTGTGAAGGTACCTGGTTTTCATCACAGAGTAAATTTTAAGTTTTTAACTGGGGTACTTATGAACCGAGAAGCAGTATACATTTATTCAACTTATAGAAAAGATTTAAAATGCTAGTTTATCTGAAAACTAAAATAACTTGTCCAGATAAATTGTTCACTTATATTTGAGCAAGCAAGCAACCGACCTCAAGGACACAGGCGTATACGAATACAAATAACTAGGTCCACTTACCAGTTTTCACAAGACATGGTATCTCAAAGTTCAAGTAAACACTTAATTAATCTTATCAGGGTATCTTGTTACTAATACAAACATGCCTGAGCACTCTACTTTTAAAACATATAGATAGAAAGGCCCGGATTTTTCAGCTATCATAACTAGTCCTTCACTAAGTGCTTATGTGGGGCTATTCAAAGATATCACCGTAACATGAGAAGACATGCACAACTCTTCTGAGAATATCGTCTTGAGATTATCTACATAACGTGGGAAGATGTAAAATCGTTCATTACTTATACCAGTAGAAAAAGCATATTAAAATTGACTTAAATGTCTAATATTACAAATAAACCGGTAGTGATCTCCCCTAAACTTTCTCGAATATTCTTATATAACTTCGAATATAGACATGATTTTCAATTACTTAAACTTTTAAAAATAGAATAGAATCTCATAGAAAAAGAATTGCGCACCAAGCGAACGCCAAAACAAAATGTGCATAAATCGGAAATAGCGTAAACTAGTACTTCTGGTCAACGGAAATTACTCAAACTTTGACTGAAGGTAGAGATTTAGATCTTTTACTTACATGTGAAAGTTGATTTATCTATCCTAAATAGTACTCAAATTATCGGCTTTTGAAAAATTCAAAGTAGAAAAAGTACCACTTTCGGTTATCGGAAATCGCTCAAAAGTTGATACGGATCTACGATTTTGATAAAATACTTATATATGTAATTTCATCAACCTAGCTGTAACGGTACTCAAGTTTTCGTGTTTACACACAGACAGACACACACACACAGACATAGGGACAAGATTGCAAAATTATGTTTTTCCGTATCAGTGAGGTGTAAAACGTCGAGATTTATAAAAATCTTTTTTTTTTGCACGATTACAAGACTTTCTCTATACTTCGTATATACTAGAAAGTAAAAATGAAAAGTATTCGTAATACACTCAACCACTAGACAATTCACTCCTTAATATTCAATGGGTCTTGTTTATGCTTCTATAGATTAAAGTTTTATTTTACAGTTGTTTCTCCCGGGGACTGATTGGATTAGAAGTAGCCCCAAAGTCAAATTTCCGAAAATAGAGAGCAAGTTCGTTTGTCATTGACGACTGTACCCAGGGCCGGCGCTACCTATAAGGCGAACTAGGCGGCCGCCTACGCTGGCCTTAGGGGGGGGGGGGCGCCTAAATGGGTTGGAAAAACAAATTGAAAGTTTGAAGGGGGTGCAAATCGAAAGTTTGAGGGGGGGGGGGGGGTACAAATCGAAAGTTTGTCCCCGTGGGCACGAAAAAAATTGCGGGGGGGTGGGGGGCGCTTTTAATAAGTTTTGCCTAGGGCGCTAAATAACCTGGCGCTGGCACTGACTGTACTGCCCTTATTATCCAAACCAGCTGGTACAATGCACTAGGCTATTCCAGTTGACTTCAAGGAGTAGTTGGTTTTTTTTTATTATTTGAATGATATTATAATTCTCAAAAATACTTTTCAAGGGGTTATATTCAATGCAAAAATATGAAAATGGATGTGTAATCGATGGTTCACAAATGGCTTTAATTTTTTTTAAATATAACTATAATTATATCGTTTATCATTTTTTTTAAATATTTTTTTTTAATTTTGTATGATTACAAAAAACTTGTCAAGCCCATTGCTTTCCAGCATTTATTAACATGTAGAAGAACATTAAGAACATTACTTTACGGTAAAATTATATTTGATCTTGAAGGAGATTGTCTTCGATCAGCCTGTTCTGTAGGGTTGCACAGGCTTAAGCTAGCTGTTAGTGTTAATCTGATGCCTCTTTTTTTTGCCTGTACTTTATGTCATCAGTCAATTGCTCAGTTGAATTAGATTAGGGACAGAACACATCCAACAATATTTTTTGCGAATGGATGTAAGTTTACAACTAGTCCATCTTATTCACTTTCAACAGCTGACATTGCTTGACCAATATGCACTAGAAAAATCTTTATATATTAATACATATTTATTATTAGAATAATTTGACTTCGGGATGAACAGTTGTAACTCTCAAAAATCAAACTCGTAACTATCTTTTCATCTTCATCATTCTTTTATACGAGAAAAATGGCCCGTTAAGGAAGGATACAACGGGCGCTAGGTTGATAGTGCTGTCTATTTTCTCTAAACTCAAACCACCCCCCCCCCCCCGCCCCCACACACACCCCAAAACATGTCTACCGTCCCATTCAACGAAATATAATTATATACTTTTTTCAGTGTTCGCCCCCTCCCAGAAAATTCTACCCCCGCCCCCGAAAATTTCAAGTACCCCCACCCCTCTCCGGGGAGGAAAAGGTCTGAAAGAAACACTGGTCGCATTTGTAGATCATACAAACTAAAGGAAGAACCTGGGCGGGGCTTCGCCCCTACCGGAAGAGATGCATGAAAAGAGCTGTGCACGCTAAACACTTTTTAGATTAGAAAAAGTTCCCCCCTCCGTGGAGGAAAAAGTCTGAAAGAAACACTGGTGTCGCGCTTAGCCACTAACCGAAGAATTGCATGAAAGAAACTGCAAGCAAACCACTTTTAAGATTAGACACATTAATTAGGCGGTAATTTTTATTATAGAGTATCGATGAACAAATTTCTTTTGAGTTGGGGGGGGGGGCGGCTTAGATGTTCTTTCGTGAGGGTGGGGCTTCGTCCCTACCCGAAGAATTGTATGAAAGAAACTCTTCACGCAAACCACTTAGATTAGACAAAATTGCCTTTTTATTCAATATTTACTGGAGAATCAATGACGTCATATTACTGTGTGCACTCTCCGGCTTGATATTATTTTCTATTATATGCTGAATATGACGTCATATTTCGCTTCCGATTTACTGTGCATGTTTTTAAGTTGCTTGTGTTTTCTCTAGAGCGTTCTTGTCAGACAGATAGATAGATACATAGATAGATAGACAGCGAAACTATTATTATAGATAGATTAGAAACATTAAACTGTCTGACATGACAGAGGGGCTCAGTAGTGTTATTCTAGAATCTAGACGGAAGTTACATATTAAATAAAATATTTTAATACACTCATTTTGTCAAGCTCTTCACATTTTGTCCTAATTTTATTCTTCAATGTAAACTTTTCCATGTATTTTAAAGTTTAAGTTATGAAACATACACATGCACTTTTACAAAATGACTAGTTGTTATTTCTAATTTTAGTAAAAATGTATTGTTTTCTAAAATACAATTTTTATTTAGCATTCATTTAAACAATAGCTCACAAAATTCTACAAAATCTTAATCATTAGAAAACTTTTTTTTTTTAGGGAAAGAAATATTTTTAAACTGTTTATCTCTCAATAAAAGGCATTTCACATAAAAACCTGGGAAAGCCCAAATTTGTGATACAGGGATAATTTATCATCATCCAGTCTACACTAGAATACAAGAAAAGACAAGGATAAGAATCAGGGTAGGCAGGATAACCTCTTCCAAATGCAGTATATCCTATTGTTAGGTTGTTATCCGTTGACTTCCATGTCCCAACGTGGCCCTCGTTAGTGCCGCCGATGAGGATCGTGGTTCTATAAGGTTTGCTCGTGAGTCCCCTGATGTAGCTTCTGATGAACGTCATCTCTTCGATGTTGTCCATCTCAGCTAGGTACCCCCCATACAATTGACACGTCTCTTGAGACTGGTATGACTGTACATACTCGTAACCATAGGATAAGTAGTACGTGCTGTCTTTATATGTTGTGGAAATGTCAAATATGGAAAGTTTTGCACGTTCCAATGAGATCAGTCGATTTTCTGCTAGACTTTGATAATTCTCTAAACAAGATAAAACAAATATTTGTATTTTTAACTTACAAAGAGTAACATTAATTTGCTGTGTTGTTTTTTTTTTTTAATTGGGAATTCCTCCTGTTGTTACAATATCATTCAATATACAAGTATAACAATAAAGAAATTAATAAAAAATCTCCCGTGTATTCTTTTTTTTTTCGCTAAAGTGGTATTAGCTATTTTATTAAAATTGGACCAAATACACATTTGAGAAACATTGAAACAAGTGTCAAAATATTTACCGGTTAATGCAACTGATCGCATCAGAGCTTGCATTTCCATCACAAACAGCTCGACATCCGGCGTCTCTACAGTAACTTTGGCAACGCTCTCAAAATTATAACGATGTCCTATGGCATCAACCCCAGTAGCTTCACACCTGTACAGACCGGCTCTATCAAAAGACGGGTTGGTCCAGGTAAGTCGCAGGTATGACAGGTGAGTACCGTTGATTGCGCCACTGACCGTCGCGTTTTCAGACGAGAGCTCAACGACATGTCCAATAAAAGCTTGTATTGAGGCCATCTCTCTGAACGTGTCTGTAGAGTTCTCATCGGTTCTAGAGATGATGATAGAGTCCACGTACACCCCTGTGGAACCGCTGTCTCCAGAAACAGTACAATCAACAGTAAAACTGTTTGTAAAGCCGATCTCAATAAATGGTGGATTCACTATCAGATTAATTGCAGAATCTGCAATAGGTATATACCAATCATAATCTGTATTCATACAAATTATTTACTTTTAGTTAAATAAATAATATGTTACGTGATAAATGTTAACTATAGTAACAAAAAGTAGTATTTTGAGAGATATTTTACAAAGCTATTAAAGTTATTAAAATAAATAAACGCATGTTTTATTTCGAGTGAAATTATATTAAAGGAAGATAGATGTAATATATTGTAAATTAACACAGAACTAGCGCCTATAATCTATATATAATATACATTTTAGCCCAAAAAAAAAATCATTATTCATACCTGAAACATACATGCAACTTGAGATAAAAACGAAAATAATTTTCGAATACATCGTCGTAGTCTTAAGTCTTCCACTTAACTTAGCTGAATAAAAACAACTTTACAAGTAAAGCATATTTTACATTGTATTATTACCGTAAAGTCTCTGGTTTTTAGTGTTTCATTTTCTGATATGTATCTCATAAAATGTAAAGCTGATTTAATTATAGCTACTTACATGCAATTACACCTTACATCTTGCGTTTGTTTTGTTTGTATTATTCTGAATATTGAGTAAAATAAGCACACACAAAAATAAGTTTACATGAGTGCGCAATATACGATTTTCTATATCTTGCAAAGTTTATATCAAATTCTTGCGATTGTTAAAAAGTAATCTTAATAATTATAGTTAGTTATTATTGAGCGCAGTAAAATACAATAAGCAATAACATGATCCTTGCAATAGGGCAATTATTTTAAATTTATAGAGAACAAAGAAATTAAGTTTTACGGAAACTTCATCTTACAGACGCGGAACAAAACAATTGCTTTCTTAAAAGATAACTTCAATAACAGCGATAACACCAAGGCCTATATTTTTTGTTTTTCATAAAGTAATGTGTCAAAGTCTTTTATAAACTGTTCATAACTACGACTTGACCATAGATTTGTTTCTCTTCTAAGCAAAGGCATAACACTATTTTGCAAAAACCAAAAACAAAAATGACCAGTCTCCTCTGTATAACACTTGTTACCGTCTTCACATTTACCAGAGGTATGTATAAAATATATTATTTTAACACTGATTTTTATTCAGTTTTTACAATGCAAAATACCGTGTTTTTGTTTTTGCCTAATATGTAGCTTAGTTAAATCCAAGGCTTTAAAACTATTTTCTGGGTTGAATACGTCTAGCAGCTAGTGTTGTGTAGTGATTTTTTTTTTTTAAACTTAAAATAAGGGAAATATTAAATGTAATTTTTTAGAATATACTATTAAAGCTTAAATTTCTATAAATTATAATTTAGCCTAGTTTTGTCAAAGATATCACTTTGTATAATAAAAAAATACGAACGGTTTTTTTTTAAATAATTTAACAAATAATTATCAATAGTTCTGCCTTTGATTCGACGATTATTTCTTTTGTTATAGGTATTTTAAAAATATTTTATTAAATGATATGTGTAAGTAAAATGTTAGATTCCGGTCAATAGTTCATCTTAAAGTAGGTACACAGCTAAACATTGTCAAATCTTCAGTACGCAATTTTGTTTACTTGACTTTTATTGTTTACATCAAGTGTCAACTTTTGACTTTGTGGTGAATCCAACCACCATACAAATCGGCTTCACAAAGTACATGGAAGTAAACTGTTCAGCAAGAGCAGACAAAACAGCAAACTTCACCAGTCTGGTTTCCATCAACGTCTTACACTCGGAGACCTCAGAAAACTCTGGCTTTCTGACGCTTGCAACCATCGATGTCTTTGACGGCGTCAAGGTGTTTGAGCATGAGACGGCCGAGGGGTACATCAACAGTGACGAGGAATCCTACCTGCGCATAAGCTGGACGTTCCCGTCCAAGTGGGACGGCGGCTGGTACAAGTGTGAGGTTCACGGTGTGAATGCTGCGTGGCATCCAGTCAATTTCTCTAGGACTGTCAGCGTTATTGCAGAGAAGCCAGACTTCGACTCCATGATCGAAGAGTTTAGAATTCTCAGGGCCGGCGTCTCCAACTGTAGTTTTGCGGGTAAAGAATTGTATCTCAATAAATATGTATGTCATATATTTTAAGCTTTAGCACTGCTGAAAACAAATGCTAAATCCGCATACTCCAGCATATAGTGAAAATTCCTCCTTTATCCAATTATAATATCTATCCATTGCAATTATGAATACTGTTAATAAATGATAAATGTAAAACTAACATTAAAATGCCACTAATATTTTTTTTAAAAACGTATAGTCCTTACCCTATTATTTAAACTTTAATAATACGAAGATGTATTACTAAATAAATCTTTAATTAATGTATCATCTTTCTCTGTACTGTGTTCTTAAGCAAGCATCACAGTGTCGTGCACACCCTGGAAATTCTCTAGATCCGTTTGTTTAATTAAAGATCTAGCTGATTCGTTTGGCGAATTTCACTATTAGGGGCGGTGCTAGCGGCACTTGCTAAATCTCGAACGGAAAATCTCTAAAACGCGCTGTCAATGGTTTCACTACACTCTTCAATTCTTTTGTTAAATCTAGTAAGGTATATAAAACACAATTAGGATATAAATGTTAGAAAAGATTATTAACATCGAACTAATTTTAATATATTTTTACAGGTGTTCTTGAGCACCGGTTGGAAAAGGCCAAAGCATCAGCATTTGAAATCCCAACATTTTTTTCTGATTCATGGTATTTCTTGTCCAAGCCAAGCAAACGAGTTTTTTCACCTGAAGTCAGAGCCAGCTGCGAGTTATATGGCGGCCATCTTGCAGCAATCAACAACGTTAATGAATGGGATTTCTTGAGAAATTACTCCTCTAGCTTTGGTGCTGGTGTGAAAATGGTGATGATAGAAGGCACGGATGATTCACATGAGCTCCAGTGGGTGTCCATGCAGACCAACACCAACCTAACCTACACCAGATGGGCCACTGGACAACCCACATCAGATGCCGCCAAAAATTGTTTGTTTCTGGCCAAAGATTTGGGATGGAACATGACAGCTAATTCCTGTACACTAGACGATATTAACTTACTGCCAAGGTTTTTATGTAAAAGTTATTAAACTTAAAATCATTCACACGTACGAAACAGATATATATATATATATATATATATATATATATATATATATATATATATATATATATTTATATTTATATTTATATATTTATATATATATTTATATATATATATATATATATATATATATATATATATATATATATATATATATATATATATATATATATATATATATACTTTTCTTCATTAGAGATTTAATTAATGAAGTTCATAATCCTGTAAGAACGCATTATATTAAACAGCAACTCGAAAATATTTGTGTCTTATTATAAACACACGGGGGTGAACTTAAATAGCTTTGTCTATGTTTAATTATTTTTCCAATGAAGCGTTTGTTATTATTATTATAACTATGTGTGTCTGTGTTTGTTTGTGTGTGTTTGTGTCTGTATGTGTGTTTGTTTGTGCGTGTGTTCGTGTGGGCGTGCGTGAGTGTGTGCGTATGTGTGTAAATTTAAGTATTATCCATTAACATTAATATTTTGATGGTTTAATAGAAGCTTCACTCCAATGACTTTTAGACATGAGCTAATCATTTCTATAGTCATAGCAGTGGGCTTCAATGCTAACAAATTATTAACCTAACATATGCTTACCAGCTGACTCATAAAGCTTATTACTGCAAACCAATCGATGAAAGACATTTTTAAAAAAAAATTTTGCGACACAAGCAAACCTACCCCCCCCCCCCATGATACTAAATACTAAAACTCAGTATTGTGAAAACGCCGGAACCATTTGTGTACTCAAATCGCACGTCAATATTTAGAGCCGATGTCGCTGTCATTTTTTACATAAGTTAGTAGTATTTTGAATTTAACTACATATAAGACCTGTTTTTGTTTTTGCAGCTAAAAAAATATTTTATTTCAATGATTCAATGGTCTTGAAAATCGTCAGAAATGAAAACAAAAAAGAATTTAAAATGTTTAATTGAAAAATAATGTTTATAATTTATTGAATATGGTTATGGCGAGTTGCTATTTTTTTTACTTTCTCGTATACGAAGTATAAAGAAAGTATTGTAATCGTGAACAAAAAAATCGAGATTTTTGTAAATCTCGCCATTTTACACTTCCCTAAGTCGAAAAAACATAGTTTTGCAATCTTGTCCGTATGTCTGTGTGTGCTTGTGTGTAGTGTGTGTGTGTGTATGTGTCTGTGTGTGTATGTAAATGTGTGTGTGTGTGTAAACACAATAACTTGAGTACCGATACAGATTGGTTGATGAAATTTCATATACAAAAATTATATCAAATTTGTAGTTCTGTATCAACTGTTCAGCGATTTCCGGTAACCGGAAGTGGAACTTTTTCTACTTTCAAAATTTTTTTCAAAAGCGTACACTTGAGTTATGATTTAGATAGATAAATAAAATTTCAAATGTAAGTAAAGGATCTAATTTTCTGCCTTCTGTCAATTTTGAGTACTTTCCGTTGAACAGAAGTAGTAATTTACGCTATTTCCAATGTCTCAAAAAAATAAACCGGGAGTGATCTCCCCTAAACTTTCTCGAATATTCTTATATAACTTTTAAAAATAGAATAAAATCTCGTAAAAAAAAAGAATTACGCACAAAGCGAACAGCAAAACAAAATGTGCATAATAGTGCGCAATATTATTAGTACTCTATAAATAAAAAATTCATAAAAAAACGTTTTAATAACAAGCTTTTATGTACTAATGCACTAAAAAGTAGAAAATAAATTATAGACTACTATTTAAATAACTATAAAGAAAAGCGTGGGTCACTTTAGTACTTTAGTACCTATTTTATACCTTTACTAATATTTGAAAAGAGACCCACGCTTTTCTTTATAGTTATTTAAATAGTAGTCTATAATTTATTTTCTACTTTTTAGTGCATTAGTACATAAAAGCTTGTTATTAAAACGTTTTTTTATGAATTTTTTTCAGTACTTTACATGTTTTATTTACAAATGAGTTACATGACTAAAAACCATTGCGCGCCTACTGAACGTGAAGTCGCGTCTACTGAAAGTGATGGCGCAGCTATTGAACGTGATGACGCGTGTGGTATGGTTGGCTAGATATGCCTACTAATTCGGTCCAAATTTTAATTAATTCATTAAAAATCAATTAGGCATCCAATTAAGTCAAATTTAGTTTCAGATTGCATTGTCTTCATGTCTTGACCCACGTGCCAAATGTGAATCGTATCGGTCAAGTAGAAGGTTCCGAATTTTCACTCCTGCGTTTCCATCTAGACTCGTCAGACAGATGAAGTGAGTTAAATAAAAGCTTGTAATTACATGCGTTTTTTGAGAAATCGGAAATAGCGTAAATTATTACTTCCGGTTAACAGAAATGACTCAAAATTTGACATAAGGTAGACTATTAGATCTTTTACTTACATGTGAAATTCCATTTATCTATCTGTAATAGTACTCAGTGTAAAAGGCTTTTGAAAAATTCAAAGTAGAAAAAAGTTAATACGGATCTACGATTTTGATAAAATTCTTATATATGAAATTTCATTAACCTAGCTGTAACTGTACTCAAGTTATCGTGTTTACACACAGGGAGACAGACACACACACACACACACACACACACACACACACACAGACATACGGAAAAGATTGCAAAATTATGTTTTTCCGTATCAGTCTGGTGTAAAACGCCGAGATTTGTAAAAATCTCAATTATTTTTTTGCATTATTACAAGACTTTCTCTATACTTCGTATATACGAGAAAGTATAAAAAACGAATGTGAATTTATAAAATACAAATAATATTCCGTGATATTATACACAGATTGTTTAGCGTTCACTTGGTGTGAAATTCTTTTTTCTACGATATTCTATTTTTAAAAGTTTAGGTAATTAAAAATGGATTAAAAATCATGTCTATATCCCGAGATGCCATCCCCCATAGTGTTATATAAGAATATTCGAGAAAGGTTAGGGGAGATCACTCCCGCTTTATTAAGAAGACGCTTGTGTTCAGAAAATGTATTCATTCAATGAAAGTCTTAAGCTTCACATTTGAAAAAGAAATTAGTATTTTGCGCTTTTTCCAATTGTTTAAAAAAAGGTAACTAATGTTTTCTTTACTAAGGACTAATTTTGAGTACTAATTTTTAAGTACTAATTTTTAAGTACTAATTTATTTTTAAGTACTAATTTGTAAGTACTATGTCTTAAGTACTAATTTTTATGTACTAATTTTTCGCTATATTATACTCATACTGCGTTGATTTATTCCCGATATTTTTTTCTGCGTGATTTTATTATGTTAAAAGAAATTATTTATTAAAAAGATCAATAAAAATGTATTTCTCTAGCCAAGGAAGTGCCATCCCCTAAGTATTATATAATAATATACTAGAGAATATACTCCCTCTGAACAAACCCTCAACTTCACTCATTGCACATGATCACAAATGTCGTAGTTTCCTCACTTCACTAGTAGACGCCCCTTCCAGAACAGTAAAATAACTTTATTGGGTACTTTGTCTTCAATAAGTAACTGAATAACTGAATATTTCTTTTTACCGTAGACGTTAGTGTAACCTCCCTTCAAACGTGTCTTGTTTGGGCAAAAAGTGTATTAAACAGAACTGACACGGAGTTAAAGAATAATCTGTTATTTACAATACGTTTAAACTTATAAGCCACGTGATCCAGAACTTGTAATTTTTTTATTTATTTCAAAAGAAAAGTGATATTTTACTATTTTAAACTACATTTTACTGTGTTCTGGTTATTTTTAAATAAACCGGGAGTGATCTCCCCTAAACTTTCTCGAATATTCTTATATAAAATAACAGGGGATGGGAACTCGGGCTATAGACATGATTTTTAATCCATTTTAAATACTTAAAGTTTTAAAAATAGAATAAAATCTCGTAGACAAATTAATTGCACACCAAGTGAACGCGAATAAAAAAGCGCATAATAGTGCGCAATATTATTAGTACTTTTAAAATTTACATTAGTTTTTTGAGAAATCGGAAGTAGCGTAAATAAGTACTTCCGGTCAACGAAAAATTCTCAAAATTTGACAGAAGGTAGAGAATTAGATCTTTTACTTACATATCAAATTTCATTTATCTATCTGAAATAGTACTCAAGTTATAGGCTTTTGAAAAATTCAAAGTAGAAAAAGTACCACTTCCGGTTATCCGAAATCGCTCAAAAGTTGATACGGATCTACGATTTTGATAAAATACTTATATATGAAATTTCATCAACCTAGCTGTAACGGTACTCAAGTTATCGTGTTTACACACGGACACACACACACACAGACACACAGACATACGGACAGAATTGCAAAGCCCAGTTTTTCAGACTGGAATACGCATAAAACCTTTTAATTTTGATAAATCTGGATTGATAATTTTTGCCCGATTAAAATAAGTCCTCTATACTTCGGATGTGATGAAGGACTGAGGTGTAATACGGTGAAAATAGTTAAAATTTCAAGTGATTTTTGTGCACGATTACAATACTTTCTCTATACTTCGTATATACGAGAAAGTAAAAATGTGTTCTTGAATACGGTAAATTTCAAATAATTAATTTATACTGTCGAAATTATTAGCTCATTTCTTTATTTGTAAACAATTTTATATATATATATATATATATATATATATATATATATATATATATATATATATATATATATATATATATATATATATATATATATATATATATATATATATATAAGTTAAAAACGGTTCATAACTGAATGCAGCAGGGTTTGTGAAATTAACTTTGTTGATCAGGTATCTCGCATAAAAATCTTGGTGTAGTTGGTGTTCTCAAACATTCATAATCAACCATTTTCCAGCTAGAATACAAGTACAAACAATTATTGCTTTCACCGCCAATTGGATAACTAGAAGCAAATTCTAAATAGTTTAAAGGCAAGTTTGTTTCCGTTGATACCCAACTTCCTTTGTGTCCTTCGTCCGTGCCTCCAATGGAAACTAAACCTAAGGTGGCTTTGCCAGTGAGGCTATTTAGAAATATTCTGATAGAAGCTAATTCAGCAGCACTGTTCATTTCTGCTAGATAGCCTCCAAATAGCTGACATGTGGCTTGAGACTGGAAGGAATTTACGTCTCCTGAGTAAGAAGATAAAAAGTACTTGCTGCCATTAAAAGTTGTGGAAAATTCGAAGTATGCGAGTTTAGCTTTCTCTAGAAAAATCAACAGGTTGTCTTCGAAAGCTTCGAACTCATCTGGGGAAAAAAGTAAATGACATTTCTTTTGTCTATATCAGCTTAACTACTACATGTCTAAACTAAGTCTATGCTGACTTTTGAAAATGATGTTTTAAATAACAGACAAGATTACTGCACACAGAAAACTTCGCACTCTCATAATTGTCCACACACAAACCTGAAAATGTTTTAATATATTTTACCAACAAAATTGACCGTTTCCTTGAGGTATTCCATCTCCTTAATAAACAAGTCGATGTCTGGTTCCTCTGTGGTGACGTTTGATACGCTCGTGTAACCATAGTGATGTCCAATCCTATCAATCCCAGAAGCCTCACACTTGTACATGCCAGCTCTGTCGTACGACGGATTAGTCCAGGTAAGTCGCAGGTAGGACAGGAGATTATCGTTAATCACACCTGTCACTGTCGCATTCTCTGACGAGAGTTCAACCACGCTACCGAAGACGGCGTTGATAGCGGCCATTTCCTTGAAGGCGTCTGAAGAATTTGGCATGTTTTTGGAGATGATGATGGAGTCGATGTACACGGCCCCTGTGCTGGTGTCGCCAGAGATAGAGCACTCAACCACCAAGTCGTTGGCAAAACCCACCTCGATGATTGGTGGTTTGATGTCAAGGGATATTGCTGAATCTGGTCGAAAAAGAAACAACACAATATTATTTAGACAGTGTATTTCTCTAGGTAGCCTATGTTCTTCATGATAAATAGTCAAGTGTGAAAATGTTTTAATTAACGTATATCAATGCATATAGATTTAAAATATAATTTAAATTAAATTAAAATTTATGAATACAATTTATATTTGTATCCGCAGAATTATTTCATAGTGTGGTCATTTTTTTTTTATAATGATGTATTAAAATTGTAAAAATTGTGTACTTTCAGGCGATGCACACACTAGCGAAAAGTAAAAGACATGTATTTGAATGTTAAATAACGAACTGAAAATCTTTTAATCTTGTGATGTTCTGATGTGCCGTCATGAAGTTTTGCTTCTGTTCACTTGTTAATATACATAACGTATGTAGCATTTAGAAACTGGGATATCAGCAATTACATTTAAAGTGGGACCATTGTGGCGTTAAAAGAAGCAGATTAATTGGATTGAATAATTTTCGTGACCGAAAATCTGCGCAAGGAAAAACCGCGCCGAAAAGGAAGTGCGCAAAGGATTTTTTAAAGCGATTGTTGAAAGACGTCAGTAAAGAATGACAAAATATGCACGAAGCATAATAAAACATTTCCCCATGATATATGACCAAAATTTCTGTTTGCCCAGGATTCCGTGGGGTAATTTCTTTTTAGGGAACTATTTGTTGCTGCAAAGTCACAATAGCGATAGGTCATGGCCCTTAGGGCTAGAATGACGCAAATCAACTGAAGGTTGGGTGTAGCGAAATGTGCCCTTGTGGCAAGGCCCCGGAAAACACGGAGCACGTACTCCAAGAATGTACTCTGTATAGCCAGGCAAGAGGCAGACACTGGCCCCAGCCCACCCCACTCAGGGAAAAATTATATGGGACACCTGACAAACTGGAAACCACAGTCCGGTTTGTCCACGAAGTTGGACTTGTTGTCTGAATCCTCCACCATATTCAAAAATTAAGAACGAAGAAGAAGAAGAAGAAATCACTTAGAAATTTTTACTCATCCACATCACTTATCACCCCCCCCCCCCCTAAAACAATTATTTTCAAACAAAACTATATAATACAAATATATGAAAATAATCTATTACCAATCAGAGTATAATGAAGGAAATACCTGAATGACAGATGCACCAAGTGAAGATAACCAACACCACAGTTGAAAACATCTTGTCTTCAGTCTTGATTTTTGTAAACTTCAAGCGGTCTGAGAAGATACTGTTAAAATAAACTTTTGGTTTGTTTACATCCTTTTTTTATATAAAACCAGAGTTCTGACATAGTTAATCAGAAGAATGTGTCTGCCATAATTTTTGTTATCTTTTATCTCAAAGGTCAACGTTGATCTTTGATAGGTCATGTGATTATTGGGGTTATCGATTTTTTATTGTAAAAGACAGTGACGTTTTTAATCTGATTAGTCCTTCGATAACACAATACATTCCACAAACCTCCCCTCCTTCCGATATTACTACTGTGATTACATTTACTAAATTTAATACTGACTCTAAGCCAATCACGGAAACTATGTGGATCTCAAACCTTGGTTAACCACTTATATGTAGGAGAATGTTTTTTTTACCTTATACAGTTACGGTGTTACTTGCTTAAGAACTTAGTTAACACACTGGTATATGATAAATTAATTGAAGATTTATGTTGTAGTTTTGTTCTTAAAAGGCCAGTCTACGGAAGCATATTCAGAAAGAAAAAAACAAGTTGAAATCGGACTCAACTGGTCACGTAATACTATGTTGAAACCTAATACTTAAATGTGTCTGGATAAAATCTTAGAAGTCTCCCACCTAATGACGTCTTTGACTTCCCCCCACCCTTCATAGCATCGGGCTCTCCACTGTTTTAGATAGGCCTCTGGATCGTATAACATGCCCAAATAATCTTTTTTCCTAGTTTAGACGATGCTTAGTAGATTCTAAAATGGACCAATCGCACTTGTGATTATTTCACCGACCTTTTTTATTTATTCGCTTTACCTTTTGAGTCTAGCCTTTATTATATGAGAATCCCTGATTTTAACCAGATATTTGTGCCAAACAGATGTCGTAATCCTGATAATAAACAAAACCAGGACAGTTCCAAAAATAAATCTAACGTTGATCTACTCCTAACCGAATTTTTCAGTTCGATAATCTATCAGATAACCCTCTAAACTCGAAATAAAAACTTTGTGTTTGCCCTTGGTTCTTCGGGACACAACATAGATGTGAGAGTGTCTTTGTTTCTAGACAGCAGTGGTAGGATCATTGGGTGTAAGAATGTTGGCGATAAAAGAAAGAGCAGGTTTCTTTCAAGTGTTTGTGATTGCTTGCTTCTTGTGTGCTGAAGGTATATTTTATTTATTTTTATATTGATATATTCATACTTTAATGATAAACAATATATATGTATTATACTCATTTATATATATATATATATATATATATATATATATATATATATATATATAGCCTGTCTATATCATTTTATACACGGAATTTAACCCGTAAGTCTGTTAGACTAATGGGGCACCACCTTATCATTATACTAATCATTATCGTCACCTATAAGTGATTCTTTTTTAATTGATATGCGCATGACAAAAGTTACTTGACTTGTTAATAGGGCTGGTAAATAGGTCACCAACCAGTTCTATGGCTCATGCAAGTTTTATTGAGCCGTAGAACTGGTTCGTAACCTACTTACCTGCCCTATTTTAACAAATGTTTCCAAAAGTCGTTTCTTTTTTAAAACATTAACGTTGGTTTTTTTAGTCTCTTCGGTGGAGTTTACCATCAACCCAAGCACCATCAAGATCGGCATTACAAGCTACATCGACTTCAACTGCTCGGCAACTCCGGACAAGTCCATCAACTTAACAGAACTGGTCGCCTTAGATATTTTGTACTCGGAAACAACGGACAACGCGGACTACAAAACGATCTCTACCATCGATGTTTACAACGGGGTCAAGGTCTTTGAACACGTGACGGCGTACGGCCATATTGGAAGTGATGATCCCTCCTACCTGGGGATGAACTGGACGTACCCGTCCAAGTGGGCGGGGGGGTGGTACAGGTGTGTGGTGCGAGGGGTCAATGACCAAGGTCACCCTGTCACCTACTCCACCACAGTCAGGGTGACTGCGGACAAACCTGACTTCGACGCCATGATTGAGGAGTTCAGGAATCTAAAGGCTACCACAATCGATAAATGCGGTTATGCAAGTAATACTTTATGTTGTTGTTTTTTTTAGCTTGGCTCTTTGTAATCTATAGATTTTGGGAGGTAGAACTAATGGACTACAATTTCATAGGTTTATTTGGGTGCCCTATAGTATTATTAGGTCGATTATTACATACATGTAAAGGCGACTTGAAAAAGTGCTGACGAAACATGAGACTAGGCATAATGCTGACCACACATGGTGGTGGGCATAATGCTGACCACACATGGGGGTGGGCATAGTGGTGACCACACATGGGGTTGGGCATAATGCTGACCACATATGGGGATGGGTATAGTGGTGACCACACATGGGGGTGGACATAGTGGTGACCCCACATGGGGGTGGGCATAGTGGTGACTACACATGGGGGTGGGCATAATGCTGACCACATAATTATGGGGGTGGGCATAATGGTGACTACACATGGGGGTGGGCATAATGCTGACCATACATGGAGCTTGACATAGTGATACTATGATCAAAGAAAATGTTTGCTCTACTTTACCTGCGATAAAAGTTTTTCTAGTTCATAATTGTTTAAAGCTAAATTGAAAGAAAATAAATAACGTTGTATGTATTGCATTGATGTTTAACCCGGGTTGTTTTCTGAATGTGTAGGTGTTCTAAAGAAACGACTTGAAAAAGCCAAAGCCTCAGCTTTTGAAGCCCCCGAGATATTGAATGGATTCACCTACCTCTTATCCAAGTCCAGCAAGCGAGTTTTTGCACACGAGGCGCGCGCTAGCTGTGAGTTGTACGGCGGCCATCTTGCCGACATCAACGATTTGAATGAGTGGGACTTTGTGAAGAATATATCCACACGCTACAACGCTCGGCTGGTGATGGTGGATGGTACGGATGAGTCTCATGAGCTTCACTGGGTGTCCACGTATTCCAATGCAAATTTGACGTATTTTAACTGGAGCGATGGCTACCCACTCAACGATATTAAATACAACTGTATGTTCGTAGACAAGGATGTCGCTTACAAAATGATAACCTATTTATGTTTGGTGGATGATATGAATTTTTTACCAAGATTTATCTGCAAAATAAAATTAATAAATTAAAGACAATAAATATATTAAACTTAAATCAATTTCAGGGAAATTATTCCTCAAAAAGTATTTTTTTTATTTTAAAGAACTTTTGAAACATTGTGTATACATGTATATAAAACGATAAATTTGTGCAATTTACACATTAACTGCTGGAAAAACAACAGAAAAAAAATAAAATGCATTTTTTAAAAAACTTAAACAAAATGGTTTTGAAGTTCAAAGAAATTTATTGTTGCAAGTCATTTACCCAAATGGAACTAGAAGAATGAGAAACCATTATGAAAAGATGTAGTTGATTTGTTGATAAAATGATTCTCTTTAGTGCATAATCTCAGTGGTGTTAAAAACAAAATTTAACTTTAATTAACGCACCAATAAGACTAGTATAGTGACAATAGAAGAGATAACCATGACGGAGAAAGTAATGTATTATTATTTTTAATAATTAGAAATGTCTCACTTATACTCAGATTTGTTTCTAATAAAAACATATTTTTAACTTTTAGTTTTTATTGGTAGTTGTAAACATAAACACCTATATGCTAATTGTATTTTAAAAATGTTATAAAAAGACGGCTCTAAGTATTGGAATCAATATTATTTCATTAGTCCATTTTATCCCATTTACTAATATAAAATCTAAATTCCGTTCTATATGCTTACCTACTATGTGCATAAATATGTACTTATTTACTAATTTCAAACAGATTTTTTTTTATCTAATTGTTAAAGTTGTTTGAGTGTAAATATACATAGGCGCAGATGTGGGACACTGGTCTCAGACAATGTCTAGCTAAAATATTGTCTTTACTATACTACTATATTACCCTTCTCGAGTCAGAGGCGTAGCGACCGATTCCGGCGCCCGGGGAGGATTATACATTTCTGCGCCCCTCCCTCCCATTCTTTTTATAGTTATTCCTGTCTTTGAAAAAGTGAACCCCCCTCCCATTTTAAAAAACGCCCCCCTACCCTTCCCAAATAAATAAATAAATAAATTGGAAAGGTTTGTGGAGCTTCTTACCAGTTACTATCCCATTAGATTTTCTATTTCGGTGCCACATAATTGATATAGATAACAGTTAAATCAGTGTGAAAAGCCTAACAGTCGTTTATTTTCGTAACTTTGACTGCTTGTAATTTAATACTTCAGCTTAAAACGAGCTTAGAATGAGCTATTAAATTAATTTTTCTACCTCTTTTGGCGCCCCCTTGGGATCGGCACCCGGGGCGCCCGCACTTCCCTAGCTATGCTACTGTCTCGAGTAGGCGTAATAAAATAACGTCGCCTTTAATGATACAACTACTTGGAATGAAATATAAGTTGAAAGAAATCTTCTTTGCCTCTTATATTTCTTGAATGAAAAACTGTGCAGACTGAAACTCTCCCTCACACCACCTCCTTTTCCCCACCAACTAAAACTAATACCAGTGTTATACGACAAACAATCACATGTTCAACCCAAATTAACAACCACTTGACTCGGCTCCTTTACAAAAACTAAACAGCAGCTTCAAATAAATGGAGAAATATGGCCAAAACCGTTCACCATACTTAACGCTGGTTTGGGAATACCCGAACGCTGATCAAGCCGGTGAGTTACAATGTGTAGGACTGAAATATATTGGAAGAAAGATTTCTATAAATAGATCAGGTTCGGTAACTCACGAAAATTTTGACTTACAGTTTTCGCTTGTTAATTACGGAACTTGAGAACCTATACTAAGCTAAGGAAATGAACAAATTGTAACTAAGTTCAAGAACATTCGATAACTTTCTTTACAACTTGTACAAAATCTTGTTCAACTATTGTGTGCTTCACTCATTCATGGGAAAGGTGGTTGAGGCATAGAGCGTTGGGCTGCCAAGTAGAAGTAACCATGTTCGATTGTAGGATTCAGTCTGAATAATGCGTAAATATGTCAAGCAAGGGATATATTTTTCTCTTCGATGATACGTTAGGTGTTATGCAATCCAAGACAAAGGGGGGGGGGGGGGGAGGGTGTATGGTGGTTACTTGTCAATGTTATATTATGTTAAATGTGGAATGATCATGATAGAGAACTATTTTCTCTAATGTATTGTAATTTAATATATCTCAAGCATGACGAACGCTTTTGACCACTAAACACACCTTCTTTAAGTTATTTAACATCCTTTTTAAATCTTTAAATAAAAGCTGGAACTGTGGCATTTTGTTTACTGTGCCAACTTTCAAAAAACAAACATAAAATCAATTGGTTGAGTACTCGTTCGTTCAGCCTTGACCAGTACCCAGCATGACAAAGACAGGTCACTGATGGACAGGGGTGATAACTGCTTGAGTTTTAACACGTATGGTTCTTACGTCACATGTCACTCAGCCAGTAACACAATCTCGTCTCTATGTATAACACACTAGAAATCTCTCATCACTCCATTTATTCACTAATATATCATATAATGCTGTGTTAGCATTGATAAGGTGTGGTCCGATTGTAGAGTACATGAGTGCCACGCCGAAAGTCTTGAGTTCGGATCCCTGGCTCGTATATTAAACGTACTTGTCTGCCCAGCTCTGATGGATACATGACCCACGATAGGAAAAGTAAAGGCGGCTGTACATATTATTCCTTCATATACAGACGGCACTGAAACAGTTGAAATATATTTCTTCTGTCCCGTGGATAGCCAGGAGCAAAAGAGTACCTTTACATTTTATATTCAAACTACATAATAAAAACACTCGTGTCCAGCTCATGTTTATCACAACCACCACTGCCCCTTAATTTGACCAAGTGTTACCGTCATTGACCTATCTCCGTCTAATATATCATATATTCACTATTTAGTTGGTCAACCCATACCCTATCGTTATGTCCAAACTAATCTATTACAAGGCAAGACTCCTGGTTTTATATTTGTGTCCGGGCCGAATCTTGTGTTACGGATACATCAGCGACCTTATAATTTGTCCAAGTGCTACCCTCTCACTCCTCGCTCAAACCAGTTCAACAGACCCCAGCGTGGGAGTAATTATTTCACCCCAAGATGGCGGCAGGGACCCCAAGCTGACTGTTACCAAATTTAGAAAACATCATCTCCCGATTACATCAACAAACCCATAGATCCTGATGTAATGTGGAGTTATGTCAGAATTTCTAATCAAACACCCAGGTTTCTCAAAATAAATTCAATTTTAATCTAATTACAAAAACAAATTACTAGTTATTTTAAGAAGATTTAATATGTTGTTTTTGTATATATATATATATATATATATATATATATATATATATATATATATATATATATATATATTTATATATATATATATATATATATATATATATACATATATATATATATATATATATATATATATATATATACGCCACTTAAACTTAAATCTATGTTGTAAGCCAAGGACTAAATAGCTTGTATAGTCGTGCTATGTATTTTATTTTTGCTTTCATGAAATAACTTACTAGACTCCTTAGATATGTTTTCTTACAACCAGCTTTAAATAACATCCAACTGTGCTTAAGGGAGAGCCAACAAACAAAAAGTATCGGTTCCGGTATTCGATTTTTGTCTGCGGATATCAAGTTAAGTTTATGACTGGGATCAATAACAAGATTAGGATTAGGTTTAGGATCAACGACATGTTTATGATTAGGGTAGCGATAACAAAACAAAAAAGAAACTCTCTTGTTGTCGTGCTGAGGTATTTTACCTCATATTCGAAGATTTATCTCATATATTAACTGTATGTATTTCGACAACAACATAATACAATGCTACAAACACCTAATTCTCATAACTTTGCAATGTATAGTTAATCAATAAACGAAAGAAATTCCACTATTATTTCCACAACGGCAAAGAACAGTTCGTTTTCCAAATGATTATTTATATTCGAAAACGGGATTTAAAACTCTCCTTGCAGTTTTCAATTCTCTTAAAAGCTTATCTTAAGACTCGGACTTGAAACTGATTTCCCGATACTCTTAAGACAGCTAGTTACACGCAAGACCGATAAACAAGACAGCTCGCCTTCAAGGTGAAGGACACTGAATCAGATACATAAAAACACGGAGACCAAATTTACATACGGCAATTTACATATAGAAACACCACCATATCAGTGTAATGGGAAACTTTATTTTAAAAAAAAAATGGGTCTGCACGTTTCTCCGCGCTAAAAGCGTTCGTCTAGCCGCGCAATTCCCGCTCCAGCAGTTCAGGCAGTCACCATCGCATTAGCCGAACACAGCGCGCCGGCGGTAATGGCAACAAAGGAGAGGATTCCCCAGACGCGGTTCCATTGATGCCATTTGCTGAAAAAATGGCGCCACCATTGACTCGTTGCGCCACGCCGGTCCTCATTTTCGTCAGCGCCGGCCGTTGATTGGTCGCTGGGGGCGCACGCGGGGTTGCCATGGAGACGCGGCGGTCGCGCACAAAGCGTGGGGTGGACTGGACGCGTGCCGGACGGTGAGCCGGCGGACAATGTACATTTACGGTGGGGATGCGCAAAGGATCACGGGATGGGGGGGGGGGGGGGTTATAAGGGGGTGGGGGTTGTTATTTGAAGGAGTGGGGTGCGATTGGTTGCAAATCTTGAAGAAACTATAGAAGAATTGGGGGGGGGGGGGAATCATAAATTCGAACTGAGTGACGTCATTAGGTAATGTATATATTGCAAGGATCTGGGTAGGGGTCAGGGTAGTGGGTGGGAGTGAGGGTGGGGGCTTATAGAAACCTTCACCAAACAACAGCCGCTCGAAACCAAAAAAAAAAAAAATGGGAAGGGGGGAGGGGGTTGGACGAAAGCCCCGGATCACGTGACGTTGTTAGTTTGACGTGGGAGGCGCCCCTGGTATAACTGCGGCCCGTGGGTTCCCTGAGCTTCTAGCGTCCCCACCACTCGGCCTGAGCACAGCTGTACACCTCCACCACAGCCGTTTTTAACAAGCTCCAAAATTCTGATAGCGCTAGAATAAGTTGGTAGAGAAACGTTGCCAAGAAACAAACAGGGAGACAATCTGAAATTTT